AAAATGGTGTGATGGTTCTGGTATAGAATTCTTCTGGGTAGTCAAAGAGATGAGAAGAGCTGCAAAAGGGCCTGACAATAGTCGCAGACCAAATCCAAATACCAGCATGTGCAAGGCAATGAGCACCGGGGAAGGAACAAGCAAGAGCTGCTACACCCTCACAGACAGCCCCAGGCTTCAAGATGAGCTCTTCTTGCTCTGCTAAGTGATCCCAAAATCACTGTGGGGAACTGGGGGTATCAGTCATCTCCCAAACTGCTTACAGCACAACCAGGAAAGGCACAGACAAAGCTCATCTGAGAGGTTTTTGGTGTAAGGAGACACCAAACGCATGAAGACTCGCCAGGCTGGCAGGGGCACAGCGAGGCAGGATATGAGACAGCTGCAGAGCCACGGGGCGGTCACAGAGCGAGTGATTCAGCCACAACTGGCAGGACGCGGGAAACAGGGTGCACCCGCTGAAGTCATCGGTGGAAAGTTTCATGCAAAAGGGAAGCAACTCCCTGCTGCCACCCGCCAGAACAATTACACGTAGTAAATCCCACGGGATGTTGTAAAAGTCTAAAGGGTAAGCAGTTTATAAAGGGTATCAGACAAGTCCATAGAATCACAGAATGGTTTGGGTTGGAAGGGACCTTAAGGATCAGTTTGTAACAACCCCCTGCCATGGGCAGGGACACCTCCCACCAGACCAGGCTGCCCACGGCCCCATCCAGCCTGGCATTTTACAGCCACCGAGCACCCACGTGCAGAGGGATCTCTCACGGTTTCCCTCCCCACGCTCTTGTTGCTGCCGTCTGCTCCCAGAGATCTGTAGGAGTTGCTGGCCTGGGTGTAGCTGCAGCCCTTATGGTCTTATGGACACGTACCTCAAGCTGGCAAGCCAACCAAGAACGACCCCAACTGGAGAGTCGGCCACAGCACCAGGCAGAGCCAAGACCCTCCGCTCTCATTTTAGAGGCATGGTACACAGCCCTCAGCCTCAGAAACCTGCAGTAGTTTCCACTTGGGGGATACTTTTAGAAGTTTTATAGGGTCAGTCACAACAACTAGAAGTCATTTTTAAAAATTAGACCAAGAGGCCCTGTCCTCCAAACCAGTGACTTAGACCCTCTGGAAAAAACAAACAAACAAACAAACAAAAAAACCACCCAGCAATAAACGATTTCTTACAAATTTAAAAATTTTAGTATTACAAGCACTGTAACGTTCAAGTTCAGTACAAGGACGGTAACAACATCTCTATGCTCATGTTCAGAATTATGTTTTCAATGTACATGTTTAGAATCAGGAAGTTAATTCAACCTCAGATTTTGTTTTTATTTTTTTAAGAAAAAAAACTTTAAGTAGTCTTGGAAGTCTCTTTAGTGAAATTCTAAACACATTCAACTTGCAATTATCCCAGAGATCTGAGGGAGTACTAAGATGACCTGAATAAGGCATATTAGGTAAATGATGTCCTATACAAATTATAAGTACATTCACCTTCGAGAAACCTGAAGGCAGATTTCTATAAAAAGCAGGAACAGATTTAAACATGGCTGTGGAAAAGAACTCCAGTGAGCATCCTGTACTGTGCTTCACACAAGGTCATTCCCAGTTAAAGTACCATCCAAGGGGACCCACATAAGGAGACCTGAAACCTTACTGTAAGAGTCCAGAAGCTCAGTAAAAAGCAAAAGGGAATTAAGACAAAATCACAGATTTTTGTGATGCAAACGTGATCAACTTATTTGACATAGCAAGAGCATTAAAATATTCCTGCAGATTTCAGACTTGCAATGAAATGCAAATCAAAACCAAACAGCAACTAGGAAAATAAAAATAAAATGTCTTTGGGGTCGCATGCATGTTTTTCTCCCTGTAGCTGCAGCTTTCACATCACCTGCTGCAGAATACTGTAAGTGGTAATCAGTCAGATCTACTTGCTTGAAGAAAAAATCCCTAGACTGGAAAAAAACAGTACATTGCCTCTCTTATGAGTTTCTGATAGCTATGTTGGGATACAGCTTCTCCAGATGCACACCAGCCAAGCTCCTGCAAGCAGGAGCTGGGGTGACTTCTTGCCCTCATTACCAGAATTTAACTCTTGTGGAGAGAAAATCATCTTGGTACTGTCTGTAATAGGACACTGAATCATTTCTCTTCCAAAAAGATTCAACGTGTACAGTGATTAAAGGCAAGAAGTGCACTAAACAAAACTGCAGGGTGAATTTTTAAAAAGTAATCCAGTGGGAGATCAAAGAGCTCTGTGGGAGAAGCATCTTCCTTTCATCCCCAAGACACACCGTGTGCTGGTACTTGCACTCCTAATGAGGACAGGTAGTCTTTGGAGTGCTGCTGGTTTCACAATATGCAGGCAGGCTGCTTTATATATCATTAACCCAAATACGTAATCTAAGTATCATACTTTTACGAAACATCAGCAATAGGATTGCTTTATTTGCTTTGACAATGGTTACTAGCAAATGCTCAAGGCAAGTTGGTAGGAAGAAAAATGTTCTAATTTTAGATGGACCTAATCTTTAATGTAAGTGCATCAGCTGTTTTATTTTAGGATGAAGACGAGCCCCAGCCTAGTACACTCTACAACAAACTAGACCTAAATTCTTCTGCAAGGCCTCCTTCTTGCTAGAGAGCAGCAGACTTGCAAACCAGGAATCTATTGTAAAAGCACATAATGACTCACTGAACTTAAAGGGCACAATCAATATAGAAGATTTATGCTGTCTTTATTTTCTTTAGTTTGTTCTACTTCCAAGTATGTAGCAAACACGAGTTTCTTCTTTTTACTGAGCCACCCAACTGCACTGTTGAAATTACCAAGCAGAAGCAGAGAGCTGGAATAAGTGACATTCAAAAGACTGCTTTTTTTTGTTTGTTTGTTTTGTTTTTTTGTTTTTTATAAAGAAGTGAGAAATGATAAATCCTTTTTGGTCATGGAAAAGTAGCAGTTCCCCCCCCAGAAACAGTGCCATCCTCCTTGATCAAGGTCTCCTACTCCGTCAAAGCTGCTCCCAACACTAAGGAGCAAGGCAGCCTCAGGTTTCCCTTAGACAGATGCAAGTTGCTTTTCCCAAGTGATAAAGCCTGTAGCACTGCTGTGAAAAAAGTTCCCACGTTATCATCCCCAGACTCTGTAGGGCCTACGCAAAACAAGGATTTCTCTGGAAAAAAAATGACCGCTTCAGCTGGTGGTCAAACTCCTGAGTGTATGGGGTGGGTATAGGGAGACACTTGAGAGGGAGCATTGCAGGAGCTAGAAGTAACTGTAAAGGTATAAAGTGTCTGTCAGCTACTTCCTAGGGCACCAATCACTAAAAAATGCCTAAGAACATCCAGAAAATGATGCTGGGGAATAATATTGATCAAGACCAGCACCACTAATATAAAAACAACTAAACTATCAGACATATCAGAAATATGTTTGAGGCCTCACACCCTTTTCCTGACCCAAGAACTCTTTCTATTATATATACACATGCGCGTTTGCAGCATGTGAAGAAATACAGCAGAGTTTAACAGATCACGAAATACTATTAATATGCTCCAAATAAGATTTTTTCAAGAAATTTAATCTTTAATCAAGTTCTTACCCCAAGAGTATGCATGATGACAACTTCCTAGCAACCAAGGTAATTATTTCTCAGCCAGCATTCAGTTACAACATCACTGGCAACTTCATACCAAGGACTGATACACAGCCCAGAAGATACACTCTGCCCTATTTCATTTTATAATGAAATACCCTTGTTTGCTTCACTAATTAAAAAAGAAAATGTTTGTATGCCAAAATTTGGATTTGCCTATGTCCAGGGACAAAGACCTCTTAAAAAAAAAATCCAAGAAAATATTTAATTTCTGAGCACTCAATATCAAATCCAATCAATTGTGGGCAGGTGAAAAACAAGTGAAAACAAAGCAAGCAACAGCTGTGTTACAACAATCAGGTATTTGGTGCTGCTTTTTCTTTTTTAATCAACTTCCCAGCAGCAGTTTAGATCTGCATATTTGTGTGTTTTAACTCTGTGCATCCAGATGTAGATATATAAAAAGACAGAACAACAAAGCAGACGGTTATTTTTTTTTTTATATATATATATATATATATATATATATATATATATATATACATATATATATATACACACACGTGCACAACTTCTCTCTCCATCAGTATAGGCCCTGAGACAAAGAACTGCTGAGGATTAAGACTTTAAATAGTAACCCATTTTAAGTTTCAATTGAATTTGCTATTTCAAAAATATTGCTCTGCTCAACAAGTAAGAGTGTGCTTTTTGCAAAAAAGCTGAAATTTGTCAAAAAGCTAAATACATAGTAATACATAGTAATCTTTCAGAAGCCCTATTATCTAAAAACAAAGTGATTTTTTTGTCTGTTGTTATTACAGAAAAATGGAAAACAAACACTAAGTTGGGTTTAACAACATCAACTTAATTTTGAAGTAGAAAAGATGACCAAGCCTTCAAACATACTCTGCAAAACTACATTAAACCATAAGACATTAGTCAAAAATTTCACAGAATCACAGAATAGTTCGGGTTGGAACCACCCAGTTCCAACCCCCTGCCATGTGCAGGGACACCTCCTACCAGGCCAAGCTGCCCAAAGCCCCATCCAGCCTGGCCTTGAGCACCTCCAGGGATGGGGCACCCACAGCTTCTCTGGGCAGCCTGTGCCTCACCACCCTCTGAGTAAAGGATTTCTTATTTTATCTAATCTAAATCTACCCTTTTTTAGTTTAAAACCTTAACTCCTTGTCCTAACAACTCTGACATGCTAAGCCATAGAATGGTCACTAAACTTTTCAGAAGAAAATTGTTGATAAATAGTGAGTTGCCTACCTGTGTGAGACTCACATACACACAAGACATTGCTATTGATTTCCCATATCCTGAAACATGCTGCTAGTAACTTCTGAGTAATTTACATATATATACACTTTAGTTCAATGCGAGACTAGAAGGTTTATTTCCTACCTGTAATGTACATGTGTAACTGTTGGTTGCCGGTAGCCAAGAATCCAGGTTTGGATGTCTATGGGTTCACCTTTGGGATACGCAATGGTTGTATCTATCACCCACTGGAGGCCTTTTGATTTGCTCTCTAGGAGTAAAAAGAAATGCTATGTTAAAATTAATCAGAAAGTGCATGCCACTGATTTGACAGTTATTTCTTTTTTAGATTACTTTATGAAGCTCAAACGAACTATGAAGCTCAAATATAGCTTAAAAATTTGAAAACATAAGACAGCCAAAAATCAAATCTAGATTTCATTTCAGAGCACACAAATACTCTTCAGAAACTCTGGCAAGACCAAAAATTTACTACAGAGCAACTCCAGCCTTTGGGTTTAATCATATACCACCTTGCCCCGGATCTTAGGTGCTTCCCCCCATTCCACAAAAGGAAAACTTCAAAAAATAAAGATCCAGTTTTCTTTGTACTTTAAGGACATTTACAGATGGGCCTTTGTAAGAGCTCTCAGCACTGACTTCACTTGCAGCTCTCTGATGAAGCAATAGCCATGCAGATCCCTTTGGGCAACCCACCCCACAGGGGTAGGGCAAGTAGATAAAGGTGATTTGTGTCATAAAATGAGAGTTGGATTTTCAAAGTTTTTTATTTGTTAAAAAAAAAAAAAAAAAAATCCTTACAGGTTCTTAAAAATCTGAGTTACAGGATAAATAGGAAAAATTGGTCACTTTGTGTGTGAAAGACAGGAAAGCAATGAAGAGGAAAAGCTGGTCGGCTTTCACAATGGAGCTTCCATCCCCAAGGTCTCTGGAAGGCTGGTAGCAGGGTTTGCTCTTACGCTCCTCATCAAATTCAGAAAATGAAAAAGGGTCAAAGGAGGTGAACATGCTTGCTGTGAAAATTATTCAGTAGAGTCAAATCTAAACCTTAACGTAAGCTACTACCAGCAATAGTCAAGAACAGACAGCAGCTTAGCCAGGCCCTCTCCCTGCTCTTGCTTCAGCCCATCTGGCCCATCTTCAATCCCCAGGTTCACCAAGGGGGAGAGCAGCAGATCTGGAAAGCGAGCCAAGAAGGAGGGGCACACTGCCAGATGGCACTGTGAGCTGAGTTTGTCAATTTTGTTTCCATTCCGTGGGAACTGGAGCTGTCTTGTATCTGAGGTCATGTCACATTTGGGCTAGCAGAGTAATGGCACACAGTTACACCATAGCCAGCAGCATCTCTCACAGAATTGTAAAAGCTGCCTGTTTTAAATAACCACCTGTTGGCACAAGTAAGAGGTGTTACATCTTAGTACCATGTTCAAGACTCTTCAAGCCTGCAACTGAGATACTTGAATATGATAGAGGTCACATTCAGCACGAAGACAGTGAGAGACTGTTCACCAACCTTTCCAACACAAGTATAGGTAGAGGTATTCAACTGAAGCACACAGAGAAAGGTTTCAGACAGAGAGCAATGGTTCTTCATGCACAGGGGAATGAAACTGCAGGGCACTCCTTGCCGAAGGATGTTAAGGATGCCAAGACTGGGCTTCAAGAGGAAACTGGACAGGTATATGGAAGATGTCCATTGGAGGAATAAATAAATAAGCAGAAACCCCCATCTGGCTTGCAAAACATGCCACACTGAAAATAATCACAAGCTAGGAGAATGTGAGGGAGAAGTGTGACGGGAGGAGTGTGATATGTGTTTGCTCTGTTCATACTTTGCCTCTGGTATGCACTTGGAACCACAGAGAAGATTTGGGGTTAGACAAACGTCTGGTCTTGTCCAAAATTGCCACACAAATTTTAGTGAGGAGCTACCGCACACATGAAGAAATCTGCAGCGCAGTCTGAGGCACGCTCTGAAAGCCACACCAACTAGAACATACCTGGCTGACTCACAGCTTTCCACCTGCATTTCACTTAATTTGCACTCAATTTAATTAAGCGTGTGAAGACATTTCCAGCAACCCAATCGCATATATCTGTCATCTTAAAAAAGCACCTCCTGTTGTCACGGAGCCTACCTGTACCACTTCATTACCAATGCAAATGCACTACCTGCGCGGGGCGAGACGGTGTGTCAGACCATTTAGTTCATGAATTATTAGCAGCATGCAATGTGCCAAAATCTGACAACGTGCAAGCTACACAGGTCAAGCTGAAATATCCGCAGTGTCACCTTCTGGAGATACTGTATTCCAAAATGCTGACAGACACGTGAAATGAGAGCACAAGGCTCCAGGCCTGCCAGGATCATGACAGAGTGCTTGTCAAGGCGCTCTCAAGAAAAGCACTAAGTGCAGAGCCCTTCATTTTAAAAGCAGCAATGTATTAGAGAGAAGCCAATATGAAATTAATAGTAAATCCACAGAAGTATTCATTTAGAAATGGATTTCGAAACAAGGCCATTCGATTTATTATTTTCCCAGATGTAAAGTGGGAATGGACAAAGACAAGTAAATTGTCTGAGTAAGCAACAAAGATCATTAATTGTAATTAAAAAGCGCCAGATAAATATGGACACATTATCTTATTATTTACAGTGAAATGTTTTTAAATCATTTATTAAATATTTAGCTAGAATTTCAAACTGTTCTTTCAGTGGATAGTGCTTCAAACTTCGCTATGGGAAGACTGCTGCAGTCCTCCTCGTTGCTGATTTCTTACCTTCTGCTTTTGTGGGGCAGATCTGTGCATGGACTCCTCAGATCAGCTCCAACACTTTCTAGGGCAGCGTGGGGAGAAAGACCCACCTCTGGCAGTCCACCAGAAACCCCAAGTTCAAAAAAAAAAAATAAAATTCTAAAGGAAACTTCAGCCTCTGCAGGCCTCCCTTTGAGCAAGCAGGTCTTATACATTGTGCTGTGTCCTGTCTATGAGGCATGTTTATTTTTAAAGCCATGAAGCTCTAGCAGATCCTGATGGACAACTGCACACAACACAAGGGGGTCGGACTTCTACATCTCTGAGGATGCTGTTTTCAGGTGTAAGGAGACTTTTGAACAAGCAGAAACTCAGGCTACTACAAAAGTTAAATATGGTGTGAATCTCAGGTATGGAATTTGTAACAGAAAAAGAGGGCATCGAGTATACCCGTTCAAGAACCCCTCTTGGCTTGGCCAACGCAGCTACAGATGTTTCTGGCAGCCAAACCCTTTTGAACATTCTACCTCCACTAAACGACACTCTCATCCTTCATTTCTAGCACCTGCTGAAAGACTGAGCAGCCTGGCTGCCCGAGACTTCAGCAGCAGAAACAGCTGCAGAGGCCAAATTTAAGTTGATCTCTCCAAGGACTCATTTTTCTCCCACAGCATCAGTCTGCTTGCCACTTTCAGCCCCAGTGGATGATTTTGATTTCTCAAATTGCCAGCAGTACGATTCTGTTTAAACTCTACATAAACGTTCACAACAGGCCTGCGGGGATCTGTCCTACACGGCTGTACTCAAACCACACGGTAAAAATATACCTCAGTATCAATGGTACTCACTTGCCTTGGGAGTGCTAAGGCAAGACGTGCACAAAGACAAGATTGAGCAATCAGAGGTTATGGCAGTTTTCTGATCTAGACAAAAATAAAACAGTCTCCTACTTTTTTATTTTTTTTAATCACCAGCAGAGGTAAATCTGCATAACTATTGTGTCTTATTTTTGTTCTAACTCTGCATTCAGCGATGGTATGTTGCTTTTTATTTAGTTCAGGCAGATTCTTCAAGACAGCAGTGCTCTCCCTTTCTGTGGTGCTCACACAGCAGACATTTGACCATCTCCAATCGGAGATTTACTGAGGCTCAGAGCTTCTCATTGTCCCCTCCATTTATTCCCTGGTGTTACTCCCACCCAATGCTGCCATCCAGGCTCGACTAGGAGCAGACTCTTCAAAGCCACCAGCAGACCATCAGTAGTCACCACTGAGAAAAAGAATAAGCTACAAAGAGGCTTTGCTGGAAACCTTGCCTCCAGCCAAGCTCTGGAACACAGTCAAACTGCACTTGGAATAGGAAAGAAATCATCAACCGAGAGTGAACCTGGGGACTCCAGCTTCCACTTGTGAAAGAAAATATTTGCTAGCATTCACTAGGATTCAGGTGTGGCTTCCTGAACGGCTTACACTGCTCTAAATGCAGCCAAAAGAGGCCCATTGCCTCCCCTGCAACACATTCTGCCCTCTACTTGTCCTCTTGTGATCAGCTGGAGCACTGACCTCAAAATCAACTCCTTCCTCAGAAATTAGCACTCAGACGGAACATCTTACTCATCAGCCCAAATCTCTGTGCAAGAAATCACCTGGGAACAAAACCAGAAGCCCCCTTTACAGGATTAAAACCAACAGCCAAGTCTACCTTCCCACGTTATCCAAGTCACATTCCACAAAAAGTGAATCAAAACGTGAGCTAAAAAAAACAAGTCCAGAGTGCAGCTCTGCAGAAAGGAAAACTGAATTTCTCTGAGATAAAGCAACAAAACCGAGTGTACTGTGCTACCTCTGAAGACAGACAGGTAACATTTCAATATGTGACCAAGCTCATAGCATCCTCTTATCAGACAGAATTTACTGCACAGTAAAATAAAACAGGATAAAAAAATACACTAAAAAATATACTATGCTGATTAAAAATAAGCTCTGTAATGCATATCTTCGGTCAGCAACTGCTCCAAACTCCTTTGAATTGCCAACTGTTCCTTCTTAAGAGTTGGATCTACACACAAGTCAACCAAAGAACAACAACAACAAAAAAAAACAGAGTAGTTGATTTTTGCCAGAAGATTTTGCTAGTTCTTGCAAAGAGAACTCTCAAACTTTCAAGACCATCAATTCTTTCCAACTCAGGAAACGCTTCACTTGCAACTGTGGCCTAAGTGCCCTGGAAAAAACGGAAAAGAAAAAAAAAAAAACACCAAAGAAAAATAGCCCAACCATCAGTCCCCACAGGGTTAGGGTGACGATGGACAGACATCAAGTATTTTTATGCTGTCCTGTTTCTATTCTGCACTAACACCCAGGAAACTCAACAGGAAAGGGATATAATTTTTGAGGAGAAGGAGTTAATGTATAAAGCATTTTAACAAAAATCAGGTGAGGGGGGAGATGAACTTTAATCATTAGTAATAAAACTTGGAAGTAACGAAAAGATTGGGAGAATGATAAATAACAGAGCAGAAAGCTTATTACAGTAAGTTGAGTAACTTGGGAACCCAGGACAGAGGAACACCAAGGACACTTAAATAACACAGTGCAGAGAACACGAAGAAGTAGTGCAGGGGAAAAATGTTTTCACCGAACCACGGAATTCAAAAGCGATGCTACCAAGACAAAAAAAAGTCACTTCCCAAGCAAGGGAGTGCAGTAAGGAAGGACAAAGTTTACACACAATTTCTGCGCAAAGCACTGCTGAAAACAAAACCATACACGCAGCTAATTCTGGCATCCACAACTCAGTGATGGTAAACCAAAGAAGATAAACCCAAGTTTGATTTCACTGGGATGGGTTTCTTCAAGTGGTTAAAAAAGGAAAAAATAAAACAGATAAAAAGTAAGGATGACCACTAACCTGTTAGACTTTAAAATTATATAAACTTGTAATGTTTTATTTCCTTCAGCTGAACAAATATTCCTCAATTTTCTGAAGAGGCAAGAGTAAAGTAAAAGCATTTGAAAGGCAGAAGATTCGAGCAAGAGTCTTCCATGCAAGGTATTGATCAAGAACTAAACTTTCATACATCTCTGGAAGAGAAATTTTACAATGGTAAAATTTTACCATGGTAAAAACATTTTGGTGAGCTTAAGAGAGGAGAGGACTTAAATAGCTCGGTTTCACATGTCAAATATTACTCTTTCCCAGCCTACAAAATTTATTTTTACTTCTCTTTTCCTTCCCTTTTATTATGTTTTCATGTCCAGTGCTCTTTTACTCTGAAAGAGTAATAGCTAAAATCAAATATTTCTCTCCTATTTTTCCCCAATTCTGTGTTTTCAGAAGGATGGGTAGATGGTAGATGTACTTTTATTATATTTCTGAGATGAGTCATTTATTTTGTTACCCAACTAAGTCAACTGTTATCAGATACCCCTTTCTCAAGAGTCTGAATCACACTACTCGAACAAACAAACAAAAACTAGCAGAGCTTGATGTTCAGAGAAGTTGCACTCTAAGATAGAAATCTGAGATTATGAAAACAAAATATGTTTGGTTCCCTTCCAGAACCAGAAGACCTGCAATTCATTTGGGGAACTAACTTTTCACACTGTTCTGCCTTTGAGAGAAGAAGAAATGGAACAGGCTGAACTTTTCCTTCTCATTTTTTAGAACCCAGAATTTCCTAAGAAAATTTGGGCTTTCTTGAGTCCTTCTTTTCTGAACGTAGCTTGAAAGGAAATATTCTAATGCATTCCACAGCTTGATTTCAGTTCATTTAAAATATTCCTTCCACTCCTGCAAGAGCATCATCTCCATTAATTTCCAATGTTGACAAAAGTAACTTTGAAACTGAAAATCTGGAAGTAATTTCTGTATGAGGTTTCCTCTTAACCCTGAAATTTGAACTTCAGCACAGAAAAAAAAGAAGTTATCTGTGAATGTGGCTTCACTAGGTTGGGTGATTTGGTTCCAAATGAGTAAAACTGCTAAATGATTATAATAATTTTGGTATGGAAATACCACCACCACCCACCAATAAGAGAACAACACAATTCCCCTATCCATTGTTTCTATAGTAAGTAAAAGAAATCCACAACTGGGTTAAATAGGATCCAAGTCCACTCTCTGAAAGTGCCAAGAAGTTCATTTTTAAAACTGAGAGACTAAAAGCACCAAGTCCCGTAACTACAGGCATTATTTATATCCCAGCTGTACTCTCCCCTACAGCCCAGGCATCCCAGAACAATAATGCTGCAGGAACATTCTTGATCCCTCATAACTCTTCCAATACAAGAGACCCAAACCAATCTTTCAAATCCAGTCAGTGACAGCACAACTCCCAGTAACAAAGGACAGTCATCATAAAAATCTGGAGAGAATAAAAGAAATTGAACTCAATAGAAAATAGTTCAAGAAGAATGAAATACACAGTACACATTACTTTTAAAGCCAGAAATAAAGATTTAAATGTAGCTTATTCCATATTCCAGAAATACTTTTACTGCAGTTCCATAGTACTGTAAAGCAGCACAAACCACTGGTTTTGCAGAAAGGAGCTGCCCCACCTTCTCGTCCTGCCAGGTGCTCATTCCAGTATCTGCTCTGCCTGTCACGTGTGCTGAGACAAGCATTCACACAGTCATGGTGCAGACTAAATCAAATTAAAATTAAGGTTTTCATTCCTTTTTGTCCCAACACCAAAAATAGAGGAAATAAAAGCAAATGTGAAAACATTTATATAAATATGAGTGTGCGTTACAGGTGCATTTGACATGTAGACAGACCAATTCAATATACATAAAAGGTTTTGCTTAACAATGCAAACATCTTGGACATTCAATTTGCTTTTTATCCACAAGAGTTCAGTGATCTTTACCTTTTATCACAGCGTCTCTCCCTGCAGGAGTTCCGTTTTCTTGCGGAGCAACAAGCGTTTTCAGGATTACTTGCGTTGCCCCAAGTCTTGGCAGGGTGACATGTTTAAGAAATGGCAAATTGTTTTTCTTGGCAAATGCCTGGCTTGTTTCCCTCCTTTTCCTCAGAAAGCCACCCTCTGGAAATAAAACAATCCATTTCCGATTACGGCTCCTGTAATATTTTTCTAGATGCTCCTGGAGTAACACAAGCTGCTGGTCACGGTGTGCTTTTCCCTAAAAGAATAAAACATTGCCTGAGCAAAATGAATGCTTAAAAGAGACAACATCAGACCAATAATTATTATATTTCAAAGATTTCTCTCCCCTTTCAGAGACTCAGACAATATTCTCCTCAGAGCACCCACTGCTGCTTCACAAACCATCTGAAAAAAAATCTTTGCTAGCAAGGATGAAACTCTCTATTTGGTGGTGACTTCTCTGCAGGAGACACATCTGGATGGTGAATGGGCACTCCACCAGTAATTTTTCCTAGCCGAACACTAACTTTCCTTGCATCACCTTCCACACACCTCTTCCCCTCAGCCCCAGCCAGGATGAGAGCTGCACGGGCACCAGAAGCCACAGCCGGACCTCACGGCCAGGCCAGGTTCCCCACCACAGCAAACGACGGATTTCTCCCCAAACTGGGCCACTTGGTGCTCCCCCTCTGCTAAAATCAGCACCCTGATGGGCACACTTAGGGACTGGATCTCTTCCATACTACATACGAAAGGAAAAAAGCCTTATGTGAAAAATGAATGTTTACGATGTTTACAGGTTTTCTTCCTCGAGGAGAAACTGTTGAGTGGGAAGCATTTTTTGCTTCGCGTAAACTTAAAAAAAAAAAAGCCCACAGCAATAAAAGTGAGAGACAGCCTAGCCAACTAGATGTATGACACCAGCTTCCAGTTTGATAATTAGCTGTATACGGGCTATAGCCAGGTGATAATTAAACCCAAAGGACCAAGGGTAGGGAAAAAGACTCATTAATTTCTCCTCTTTAACATATTAGGACAACTTTTTCCACTTAAGACAGTAAAATTTGTCTTTAATTACTGCAGAAATATCTACATCATCTTCAACAACAGTCTTGTCTCTTCCCACCTCCACACAAAGCAAGAGCAAGCCACCCAAATTTTCACAGGCATGAATTTACATGAATTAGCATTTTAAGGGTTCTCTAAGTTCAACATAATTGTCACAAACCTTCCACTGTACTTTTTTTTCCCCCCCCCCCGGCAGGAAGAGGGAAGTAGTGGTGTTAAGGGAAAACAAGAAGAAACAGTATTTTATTAAAGACAAGTTGTGTAAAAGTCTGGATCCTAAATTTTAAAATCTCACCACTGCAATTATTTCAAACTTACCTCATGAAAAAGAAGGAAAAAGCTCTGCCTGCTCATGTTAATGCAATTAAAGAGCAATATAAAAGTTCCTCAGTTAAAACAGTCTTTTGACACCAGACCACAGGACTCCAGGATAGCACAGTACTTAAGAAAAGAGCAGTGAACAATAAACTGTATGCAAGTTAAATATCAGGACTTTCCAAAACCTAAACATACCTGGCAAATAGGACAGGTGGGTAACTGCAATTTAGCAAACACTGGGTCAGCTTTCTTTCTTTTAGAGGAAAGAAAACAGGTAGCAGCAGAGCACTGACAAATTCTTTAGGGTGCCACGCTATTTGCATCATCAATACAGCAAGTTACTGACAGCCTCGGTTACCTGTCAACTTCTCGATGGGAGAAGAGAAAGCACCATTCTCCTTCTAGTAGGCACCAAAAGCGTTCCTAATACTGCCGTTGTTGCTGCTCATGAAAGTGAGGCTAATGTACCTTTTTAACCAAATCGGTTATATTGCACCATCATCAAATTGTTTATTTTTTTCTGTAAAAATAACATATTTGCTCATCCAAATGTTAGCAGGGCCTTTCTATAGTTAGGTAAAAGATCATTACTCTCTCACGCTAAGCATGTCTGCTACACCCATTAATAAGAAGCTACCAAACGACTCAGAAACATTTTATTTTCAATATGTTTGCATGTAGACTTAGGACGATATTTTATTTTTGATGTTGCAGACCTCAGTCACTTGAAGAGGAATGTGGAAAACTATTTTTTGCAGCTCAGTAATAGTTCAGCTTTGTAACTGGAATTGCAACAACACATTCAGAAATTACAATTAACAAGCTGACAGCCACGTGTACCTCAAAATGTGTATTTTGTGAATTTTAACCACTGAAATACATTATGAAGTATCACACCTGTTCTTTTCAATATGCTCACAGTACACTGTCATGTATCTCAAGATCTTAGCTTTATTATCTAATTTTGCTTTATGTTTTCTAAACAGGACTCTGGTTTTAGTTAAAATCTCACTGTAGATGTTTACTGCTGTGAGTATTTCTTTTTAAGTAAATTAGTTTTTTCTTCTCTATAAATGTAAAATACGTGGATTTTCTCTGGTTGCCCACAGAGCTCAAGTCTAGACAAAAATAAAGAGGAAAGAAATATGTATGCTAGATAGTACAGTTCATAGCACCAGATCCATACTTACCACTGTACTTTTACATTTCTATTTTTACAGTATGGTTTAATCAAAAGCTAACAAACTTTCCCAAAAAGAACAAAAACAAAACAAAAGCCCGGGGGAAAAAAATAAAGAAAAATAACAAATCATTTTTTCATTTATTAACATTTAGGATGCTGGTCCAAACACATTCTTTCCTGATGCTCAAATACTAAGTGATCCTCAAGAACCCATTCATTGCAATTAGTGCAGGTCCACCACTACCTGAAACTGGTACTGTGTCACTGTCTAAAGGAATGGTCCTGCCTTTCTCTATCTGAAATGCTGACAGTCAGAGCAGTGAATTAACCAGGCTGACTGCACAGCTTCAAGGTCACTAAGGGAAGAAGAGAGGGGACAACAACGGGCAGTCAGAAGTGGAGAGACAAAGAGGACTACCCACGTACTTTGCTTGTCCAACTCTCACAAAAGACTTTCATCATAATCAAGTCCTGTAGACCTTCATGTCCACACAAATAATAAAATAAGCTTTAAAGTAACATATTTCAGAATATACTGGATTCACTCTATCAGAATACACACATATTTCAACACAGTTATTTCATCCTGCAAAGCAACCCTGAAGGACTTGCGCAAGTAAGTCCTGTCACACCAACACACCCCATATATAAAGATAAATCAAAGCACCGTTACATGTTTCTATTTACCTGTCTTATAAAGAAGTCTCCATGGATTAGAGACACAATGCCAAAGTTTGTATACTTAAAAATATGATCCATCAGCCACATCATCTGACGGACAACCTGAAAATTAAAAAAAAAAAAAAAAAGAAAGAAAAGAAAAAGCTTAGTAAATCTAACGTGTAGAGACTTATGTATATACCAGTCATGCTCATAACAGCAATAAAACTACAAATATATGGAAGAAAGTCCATTTGCATCAAAGTATAAAGCTACACAAATGCTATGCTTCTCCCTCAAGAACCTTTTTGTAACATAACATACAGTTGTACTCTATTACCTTTATGCTACAGTCATTTCTACTCAGTCTTTTTGCACAGGAGGAATAATGCTTCTTATTGACACACCATCACAACTTTAAGTCATCTGCAAACTAAAACTGTTTCTGGTGTTTGTTAAAGGTCACAAAACATCACAGGTTTGTGTTTGAAATCTCCAAGTGTTTTATATCTACCACAAAAATCTTTCCTTACATTTTTGTACTTATTTTGGGGTGAGATCATTTTGTTCTCCCGTTTCTGACATGCACATGCTCCCCACATGCTCACTACAATCTCTGGGCAGTGGCGTTCACTGAGCCCTATGCACAGCCTGCATACCATTATGGATTTCTCTCGTGGCAGAGCAGCCACATGTGTCCCTGAGAATTTCATTAAGTCATGCTCCTTGTCCTGCCTGGCCAAGCAGCGTGGTGAGAAAGCAAAAACAGAGTGGAGCCATTAGATTCCCCTTGACCACCGCTTTTGTAGGACAGCAAAAGCAGATACTGCATGTGCTCCGTCCTCTGAGATTTAAAGTCAGAGAATTATTCCAGAAGTAGATAACAGAAGGCAAAAGGTTCTGCTCCCAAGGTCCTTCCCCTCTACACCTCCTGTTTGTATATTTTAAGAGGAGTAGGAGTTGGCTTTCCAACACTGGAAGATCTGATGTCTCATCCATGCTGTCAATGATACGTTAGGCTGGCTGCCTTCTACTCTTCCCTGTGTTAGAAGGCTGCACAGACTGCTCCAACTTCAGTAAAACTCAGTCATGTAACATAATACTCTTCCATTTATCACGATCCAAAGAGTATGGAGAACCACTGTAATTCTCTGACAGTCTGAAGATCATGTTTTGCGGGAATTTTGTTTCGTGAAAAATAATAAAAAAAAAAAGCTTGATAATTTGCAGTACCTATCTAGAATTGCATGCATCAGTAAGTCTTCCTTCCAAATAAATCTAATCCTCTCTTGGAGTGTTCTGATTACCTATTCTCCCTTTTGACCACAGAAGCTATAAATGAATCCTGGGTTATATATTTGGAGAAAGCTAACTGTTACCTACCCTGCTTCTTTTACTTATCCTTAAACAACTGCGGCCAGATGCTTAGCAAAGTGAAATTTTTACACACTTTTGGCATAACTGCCAAAGAACATTTAAGATGCTTTATTGCCTTATACATATAGCTGATATCTCAGCTAAATCTAAACGTCACAGAATGCATTAAGAACACCGTAACTGTTGTGGGTTTTTCGTATCAGCAAACTTTCTATTTGAAGATTTTGGATAATGCTAGAGCACTGGAATCTGGACTTTCTAGCATCACTGGAAGTGGAAGGAGAAACCATGTCTGAGAGAAAAGGGCAGCTCTGAAAGACATGAAATACTTTGCTCCAGAAGCAAGCATCCATTCCTTCTCTATGACATGCTAGTATCCTCTCCTGTCTGCTAGTGACATTTCTTACTAGATGTTAAATATGTAAGGGAACAAAGACACAGTATGTATTCGTGAGGGATAAAACAACAAAATTAGTTCCTGGATATAACTGCCCACTTGAGACTAATATAGGTGAAACATTTTTATTGTGTTTTTGTTTTTTTTTTCAGAGCTTCACATTCTCTCCATTTCAGTAAAAGAGAAAGCCTTAGGGAAGTAAAAAAGAAATAAACGGTGGGCCCCAAGGGCAAGAATACAAAACATAGCATTACTGAGAGGTGTTACTGCTCCTCAAAGCACCATAATACCACCTCTTCATGTCCATGCACCAGCCTAGGGAAGACATGTTGTAGAGAACTGCATCATTTGTCATCATCAAGCTAAAAATAGTTTTCAAATTGCACTGATGATGCTTTAGTCTGCAGCAGCACCCATATGACCCTCAGCGTTCATCTATTACTTTGGCTGATTTACAAATATTGTTCTATTCTATCAAGTAGAAGCTAAGCCAACATAATCTGCTTGGCCAGAGGAGATGAACAAGCATAATAATCTGCTTCCCTGAAAAGAAACAGTTTGGGTCTTTTGAGGAGTCAGCCTTGGTCCTATGTGTGGCAATCCAAGAGGAAGAACTCCTGCCCAGCAATGCTGGGGCTTCCCTCCTCCCAGAGCACTTTTTGTGGCTGTGTGCCAGCTGGGCATTTAGATCACAAATTCAGATGACTGTAGTTTTATCTTGAAGGTTGATCATTGATCTGCAGGGTCTGAAGTCCCATCTCACCATGTTTTAGGTGACACAAGAGTTTCTAACTACCTTGCCTGGACTTCCTCAGTCTTGTTGGGAAGGAGTGATGCCACTGCATCAAAGACCGGCGTAACACAAGTTTTAACTAGGACAAAACACACATACTGCTGCCAAGTGGGCTACAGAAAGGCAAACATCAGAGCTCAGTGATTACAAATTTGCCTGTAAGCCTGTGCAGTGGTGTACTATAAAGTACAGAAAGGAAATACTAATGTTTTATGTATGTAAATTGATGAATACACACAAGCACATAAAATCAAAAAAGGGGAGTTCAGAGGGTAAAACACAATCATCCTGTTTGCAATCAGAAAGCAAACTAGATTAATGGGTATTCCTTCTGTTCTGCTACCAAGGGCAGAGCAGAGCAAACTGCAGGATAATGGTGCTGACTCTTTTATTAGTCTCCTCAGGAACAAAACAGCACATCTCATGTGGGTCTCTAATCACACGTATTTCAAGTAGGTTAAGCAAAGATACTCAACATTTTTGAATGTAGGCTCATAGGTGTTCATGGACAGAGAATTTTTGGATGCTGTTTCAGGTCCTTTTTTCTACACCAGTTCCACTAAAGCAAAGTTCAGGATGCAGAAAATAGTTTTTAATGAGTTAATAGGAAATGTAGGTGCCTCCTATTCACAGGCCCGTTTTCATTTCACCCTGCTTAGATTTCATAACAAAGCAACCTGAACAGACTGACTTTCATTTTTAAAGCACCTGTCCATAACAACAATGAAAGCCAGGTATGCATGTCTTGACATTTGTACTAAAAAAGCTGCAAGATGCATTTTTTTTTCTCTCCATTGTACTGTTTCTGTTCTTAATTAAAAATAAATAAATAATGATAATAATCAAATTTATCAGTCCTAACCCAGCCAGAATGCAGTAATAACAATATTTTAATCTACTTCTTTAACACAGGCATTAAAGGCTATGAGACCTCAATCAACTTACTAAGAGTTTGCCTTAACAGTCACAAACTGGAACAAATGTTTTGAGCTATATAAAAAGTGAAATAAGGTCACATCTGATTCAGCAGAAACCTTGCTCTCTGTGACTTGTCTTATAGTATTAGTCAAACAACACCAGGCCAGCCCTTCCGTTAAAGCATAACTTTTAGCTAAGTTCCACTTCACTAATAAAAGATAAAGTTTTCTTTATCCACCTAAGTTAATCTGAAAGGGAATAAATGTCTTAACAAATGCATTTTAACTTAGTGTTTAATAAGATTAAGTTTGCTTAAAACAGATAAGATACGCTATCATCTGTATATAAGAATTTATAGAACACTAGAAAAAAGTATGTCACAGTTCCTGACCTGGCCCTTAGGAAATCTATTGTCAAGCTGCAAGAAAATTTTTGAATTCTACTTTGCCACACAGAAAAACGGAACTTAGTCTTAAATTGAACATTTCTGACTTCTTAAATTAACAATTAAAAAGGCAGCAGCAAATGGATACATGCTTGCTGCTTAAATCTGGATTCAGTCCATACTGCCTTGCAAAGGACAATAAAAAAAAAAGACTTTGGACCGCCACAGGAGGAAGTTCTTCCTAGTTCTGACATTGCCTTATCACTGAGAGGCCACCTTTGGTACGTTATTTTACTTCTCTGTACACTCTTCTGCATGAGATGGAAATGAGCATCTCACTTTCGCAAAATACTTTGAGCTGAAAAGGGTCTCCCAAGTGGTAAGAAGTGTTTAGGAACTAACAACTTAACCGTTGTAATAAAAGCAATTCTTGGAAATTACTATCTGGTTACTTACAGACAAATACCAAAGTTACAAAATACTCTAATCTTTTGTAACTCCAGAGTTAAGTTTAAACAGTATTTAAAAAGAAAAAAAAAAAAAAACCTGCCTCATTTAAATAGCAGTTTATTATATGATGATTTCTTTTGGATAGGTTCCTCCCTCTCTCCCTCAATGGTTTCACATTCTCTCCTGGTCAGAAATATGAAGCATGCTATTTAAAAGTGCCCGATTCAGCAAGTTCTATCAAGGATAAACTATCCTGATCTTTCTCATTATTTTTAGCCAGCTGTACCACTCATGCAGTATTTTAAGAATGTGTTGAAGTTTGTACTTATTTTCTTTATTAGCCAAAAAAAATATTAAAGCCGCTCTAGGCTCTGGCCATGTATATTCCAAGAGCAACAACAGCAACTCTAAGGCAAAAATGCTGATTTTTAAGGCTACTTTTCTTTTCTAAAACCCCACAAACATAACATTCTCCACAGTGAAGGTTATTTGCCACCTCAACACCTTCCTCCATTTTTAGGATCCTTCTGCACTCACTGAAACTTGCTTTGTCCTGACTGAAGCTTTTTAGCTAAGGAGTCAAATAGGATAAACATGGCTTAAATTATACATATGGATGAGCACACTAGGAAACATATATGAGTCAACGAACCTCTGTGATATTTAAAGCACATGAGACTTCAATAGTCAGGGTTATATGACATACACATCCACAGGACTGTATCTTCACAGTCACACCTTGATCACAAAAGACAGAACAAATGTTTCCCTTCATTTGGGTATAGTACAGAATACCATACAAGCCTAACTTGAGAATTCCCAAAGGTACTAAAAGAAACTAAAAGTGCTTCTAGAACATTTTCTTCTCTAGGTTATAGTAGAAAGGAAGAAGTAAGTCCCTTTCTTCAGCCTTGAGTGGCATTGTGATACTTTCCAATTCAAATCTTTGAGGGGGGTTGTTTTTCCTTTGTTTTATACATTGGCTCTGCTGGCATAAGTAACATCTGGGAAAAAATCTACAAAAAATGTTAAGTGACTGGTAGAGATACAGTGGATACATAATCTATATTAATGTACACTAAGAAAAACAGTGTCAGTTACAAGCTGTGCAAATGCAACAAAGAGCAGCTGTTTTTTTTCCCTTGTTTCCCCACAGTATGAGAGCAGGAAAACCAACAACACTAAGACAGACACAGCTGGTGGAGCTTTTCAGCTTGCCAGGTGTGTCCCTCACCCTTTGTAGCCTAATCATACTTACCCTTTTCCCCTAATTTCCTCATTGATTTAATTTTCCATTTAGATCCATTACTCTCGTTTCTGGCACTACACTCTTAGACATGAATTTTCTGAACAGCAATGCACGAAGTGACTGACATTAATTGCACTTCTCACCGAGAAATGCTTAAGAGTCTGTGAAATAAGAGCTTAAGCAATTCTGACCTTAGCTAGCCTGGATGTGCTGTCCTAGGGGAGTCACTTCCAGTTTCTGAACTCCAACCAACATCCCATACAGACCTTGCTCCTGACTTCATGAGGAAAATTCTACACTGGAATAAAGTCATAACCAAGAAGCTACACCTGTGTTGGTTTGACCAAAGTTGGTATGAATTGCAGAAGGACATATGGTGAGAAGAAAGAGTAGAGGACACGATTACCTGCAAGGAGATCTGCTTCCCTCCATGTTAACCTGGACCTGCACACTGAGTCAGCTTGTATCTGACATTCCCTAAAGGCAACGTTTATGGTCTAAAAACCTGCTCCAAGGTAATGTCACATTAAATGAAATCTAAACAAAAAGCTTCCTGTATTCAGAGCCTTGGGATTATTTGATGGATTAACAGACAAAAGAAAGTAAGTCATCAGCACCGCACACAGACACATGCACACCCAAGGTTACAAATTGCAAACAGAAGCTGCCCATTCCCCAGTTGTAGCCTACCGTGCCTTTATCCTGAAGGCACATCATCAGAGTGCAGACATCCCCCGTTGCTTGATGGTTCACCAGCACCATGGCTTCATCTTCCGATACTGCTTTAACATCATCACCCCATTCCACTACTATTGAAAAAGAAAAATAAGAGGTAAACTTTGTGATGACCACATTGCTAATTTCACTATATAAAAAAAAAACTCCACACCCACACACTTATAACAAAGAAACCTACATGCTACATGTCAATTTAAATTGGCACATAGCATAAGATACGCTATATTAGCAAGACCGTTTCTCCAAGCAGAGGGTATCCAGCTTAGTTTTAAATTGCATGCATAGAATAAGAACAAAACAAAAATACTCTATCAGGACATATGCAGAGATTGATCTTTTTGTGTCATTACACCATTCTATATTTAGGGTCTCAAAATTACATAAGGTTTTGACCCAGCTTTCAAATTCAACCACCTTGCCTCGTTAGATTTATTTTTCTAATTATGTCGTAAAAAAAAAAAAAAAAAACAAAGAACTGCTTTTACTGTTTTTTGTTTGTTTGTTTGTTTTAAACTTGGCAAGTTTGCTTCATTTCTACACATACAATTATTAAGCTACTTGGGTAAAAGAAAAAAAAGAAAAAACTTTAGTTGGAACATTCTGTTTAAAACACTACATTAAACAAACTTTGTAATTCAAATGAAGTTAGCTGTAAGCAAGAAAGTGGGTTCAGAAAACGAGCTGCTCAGATGACAGAAACTATTAGTCACTATTTTGTAGACCAGAGACCAGATACTCCAGTGGCAAGAATGACATCAGGAGGAAGCCACAGCTGTTGATCATCCAATATCTATACTCACAAAAACTATGCTGAGGTGAGGAGGAGGAGTTAAAATCGCTAGTTGCATCATCACAGAGAAAATAAATAGATAGAGAGTAGAAGGCCTCCTGCAGAAGAACACAGGATGGAAAACAAAAACGCCTGCCATAAATCAAAGGCCAGCATGCACCTACTGCTCCTACTGGGGCAAAGAGACCGATGAGCAGAGTCTGACCCTCGCCAACAAGAGATGGTTACTGCAGCTCAAGGAAAGGGGAAGGATGGAAAGGCTGAGTAGTTCTGTGAAGCTCAAAAGGAAAAGTAAGATGCATTGCCTGTGCACGTAGGACATGATTATTTTTCTGTATTCGTTCAGGACCTCAAGAGGTTCTCACTAGCTATTATCTCCATTTCTGACCTCAAAGGCAATATGTCAGCTCCACTACAGTCCTAAAGATCCAGTTAAGAAAGGTTTTGTTAAAAGGTCTCCCAACAGCAACCAGCCCTCCCTGCAGCACAATTCAAGGGTTATAGTTCTGCTGTGCTCCCAGCTGTAGTTTAACTGAGGAGAAACCCATGGGCTATGCACTGAAGGCACGAAGTGATAACCCGTGCATAGCTTCCCTGTCCTCGCAGAAATCCAATTAGCATCACACATTTGAAACTTGCTGCTAATTTTCCATCAGCTCCAAAAGCAGTATGATCTGAGATGTAAGCACAAAGTAAAATAAAAAAGTAAAAAAATAAATAAGTAAAATAAAATACTCTATTTGGTCACAAGTAGATGGAATCGGACTACAAATACAGAGAGGGGAAGCCTGTTCATCCCATAATGTCCAACCTTCCTTCCTCTCCCTGGCAATCTAAGCACAGGTCCTTCCTCAGTTTTCTCAGTGTGAACTTTGAAGATCATATTTTTTCTTCCTCCTTGATTACGAGCAAATTCCCTCCAATGTCCTCTCTAATTCCATGGAAGGCACAAAGCACTGGGATGCTGCAATCTCAGTTGATGAGGCAGGTGCACATTCAAGTATTTCACATTTCTGGGCACAACAGTACCCAACAATGCAAAAAAGTCAGACGAAAGAAAAACTGTCTTAAAGGAAATGTATTAAGCCCATTTTGGAATTATTATTTCAGCAACTTTACTAAGGAGCCAATACACAAATAGTCATACTTAACTGCAGCTTTCCAACAAAAACTGAAGTTTTAAAGCACCAAAAACTAAGCACTAAATACATTGAGCATTTGCAATATAAGGTGGCTCACAGATGTCTAATTATTACCAAATAAAACCATTTTACTTCTAGATCCGTCATTGGGGATGGGGTAATCTTTGCCATAGAGACTTCCGTGGAATACATCAGTTTATATTATTAATCACTTCTACCACAGACCAGTTTAAAAAAAGCAGTTGAAAAATAAACTATTTTTAATCTTGGAATGTATTTCACAGATCCAGCTTTCTGAAGGATTAAAGTAAAGTTCATAACAAAGTCATGAGAAGTAACACACTACTGAAAACAACCGAAGAGAACTTATAAAGCTTTTTTTACAAAAAAATAAATTAAAAAAATAAAATATATATATACACATATACGTACACATAAAAGAGTAGCATACTAGGCAAAGACTAAGAGGTGATCTTGACATTTTCAGAGAGGTCCCAGTCAAGTGAAAAGAGGGAAAAATAAGTTTCTGCTGCTACCTAGAGTATTCTACCTGCTCTTGTTAGATATAATATGGGGCAAACATTCAACCAGCTTACGATGCACTAATGAGTTTCAGCAGAGATGTAGTACCAAGGTGAGTCCCGTGGCAAGGTTAACAAAAGTTTCATTTAATCCTTTAGTTGACAGATAAAATTAATTGAGTAAATCAAGTGGTAAGACTAATAGCTCAACCTCTGCAGCTCAGCTGACAGGTAGCAGGTTACTAAATCAGAGTGATTCAGCTGTACATCCTCTAGCCTCTTTTCCCTCTGCCATTTCTCCTCAGGCAACCTGTCTGTTGTGCTTAATATCGTTTTATGGTCAATTGATTGAGCTGATTATCAGGGAGAAAAGAAACAGTTTGTACAAGTCCTTCACATAGCATTTCTGGATGGGAAACAGAACAGCAAACCACAAGTGTGCAGAAGAACCACTGCCATTACCACAATTTTTTAAAGAAGAAAAAAAAAAGCCATCTAGCTTAAATTCACAGTGCCCTTTAAACGCAGTGGAGGAATAAATGTCCCTCTCAGACTTTCCCACTGCTCTCAAGTTTTCAAAATGGGCATTTTTCTTTCAGAAATACTTGTGCCATTACATTCCTCCATTCCAATTGGAAACACTCAAATCACAGATGCATGGCAGCAGAACCAGCAACAGTGCTCTGCTCCACTGTAACAAGACAAAAACAGTTCAAAGACAAATATTTGTTGCTCAGGGTGCCTGAAACCCAGCAAGCATTCCTCCACAACTTCCTTGTATTGCCAGGACACATTTTATAACGATACCAGCTCTGTGTCTACAGCCCTGTAACAGTTAGATTTCTGTAAATGTGGTGTAACATAGTGAAATAATATAAAGACAGGGAGGAGCAGGAAATCAGTTTAACCTGGTAATTTGAAGCCACGGTAAATTCAGTACTGAACAAATCTAGTAATCCTGATGAGTAATGAAATCTTTTACCAGCAGGAGTGACACAAAAATGGCTTAGCTGTAAGAGAGACTTCATTTGTGATTTAGTTTTGAAAGCAAAAGGTTTCTCCAGGAAAGGATGAAGACACAGCATGCAGCTGCAAGTAAATGCAAGACAGAAAGACTTTTCCTTCCGAGTCCAAGATGTACACAAGTCTCTAAAAAAAAGAAAATATTTCATAAAATGAGCTGCAAACTGAGCTTTTTATGAGCTAACTCTTGCAAAGCTTAAAGAAGAAAATAAAAGCAATAAAAGAGGTTTTTTTTCAGATTGTAACTCAATTATTGCACATCTAAATGCAGCTATGGAAAGCTGTCAGAACACGTGGCTGCTTTGTAATCATGTCCTTACCATAACTGCATGAATGTAAGTGATGCTATGAATAAATATTCAAGCACTCTAATTGCAGCATGTCATTAGGCTGTGCAGATCACTACTCAGCTAGCTAACAATTCAGCAGCTTTACATCGTACTTCAGAACATAGCTGGCAAGAATGACAGCCTAGTATTCTGCACGTTGTCTACAGGTGAAGCAGTCCTGTGATTTGCATAGCAATTAATATGAACAACTTCACTTTGCATGCTGCACTTTAAAACGTCAAAAGCATTTAAGATTTTCTACCCTTGCCTCTTCATTATAGTTAACAGTTGCACTACCGTGTGTGCAGTAAGAACCAGTATTAATTTTATTGGCAAATTAATGACTTAAGTTCTAGTAAGTCACTTGGGCATATTATTAAGAAATCACACTGGGTTTCAACTTCTTTCTCCACTGAGTTGGAAAGCAGAAAAAGGAAAACCTCCTTCCAGAAATTTCAACAGCCATTAGGAAATGTGAAGGAACCAGATGCAATTCTCTTACCAGCATCATCCAAATCTGAAAGCTCCCACATTAATTCCATAAATAAAAAACATGAGAAGACCAATGCTTATGGCAAGGTCAGGGAAACTCTAAGTGTCCTAATTACCTTTATTAAAAACCCAAACACCATAAACACTTCTTTATAAGGGAGTGTAGCAACAGGACATGGGGTAAGATCTTTAAACTAAAACAGGGTAGATTTAAGGTTATATATTTGGAAGAGATTCTTTACTGTGAAGGTGGTGAGGCCCTGACACAGGCTGCCCAAAGAAGCTGTGGATGCCCCATCCCTGGAGGTGCTCAAGGCCAGGCTGGATGGGGCCTTGGGCAGCCTGGGCTGGCGGGAGGTGTCCCTGCCCATGGCAGGGGGTTGGAACTGGGTGGGCTTTAAGGTCCCTTCCAGCCCAAACCATTCTGTGATTTTATGATAGAATGGTTAGATAAATCATCTGCAAGTTATGATATACATAAAGGTGTAACTGATTTGGGTATCCACGTTATTTACCTTTTAGATTTTCTTACACAGAGTATTCACAGCTTTCTCTACAAATCAGAGAAGCTAAGAACTTCTTACTCCGGAACTCCCCACACCATGATTTATTTTTCTTCTGATCACTTGTAGTCACACGCATCCATGAAGCAAGACTTCAAGAAAAACAATTCCAACAAGCTGCGGGTTGGCAACACTTAGAGCGGAACAGTACCACCTTTTGTGGTTCTTGCAAAGCTTTAGTCACAAATAAATGGCGTTATTAATGGACAGT